AAGGCACCGAAAGGGCGCTGCTCAGCCAGCCGAGAGGCCGTGGCTAAACGTGGCGGCCTTGCATTGCAGAAAAGCGGGCTTTAAAGGCAGTTCACTTCACGGGCTTTGCTTTGTGGGAGAAGGGCGCGCGAGCGCGCGCGGCCAGTGCACTTTGCTTTGGGTTGGCTTGGGCCCCTCAAAGGCGCCTCAGCTTTTCAGTTCTGGAGCGGAGCTACGCCAGTTTCGAAGTTCGAAGGGCCGTTTTAGCTCAAGTCTTGAGAGCCTCAAAGAACCCCGGCCCGGCTCGCCCTCATCGCCGTCATCGCCGATGAAGAAGCTCACGAGGCCGAGGCCGAGGCCGAGGCCGAGGCCGAGGCGGCTTTTTTCGAGGGGGGATCGGCATGACTGCAGAGGCGACTCGGCGGAAGTCGAAGCCTCGAGCTCCAGGTGCAGAGAGCAGCGCGCCGCTCTGCCATGCTCTGCTCGGGGTCGTGTTCTGTACCCGCAGGCGTGCCAGGACGGGCGGCTCGTCGGCGGAGCTGCGCGGACCCTCGTTGGCGTGCTGCCGAAGCCTCTGGGAGCGGGTGGAGCGCTTCAAGGCGACCTGCGACCCAGCTGAGCAAGCCGCCGCGCTGCGACCCCCGAAACAGATCCCAAAAATCCCCAGGACCAGCTGGAGACTTGGCTGGAGGCGCGCTTGCCTGCGGGCCGCCCCTTCCTTCTTCTAGTTGAACTTCTTCTCTTTGTCTTCAATTTCCTATTGCGCGGCAATGCTTTGAGTGTCAATTTCAAGCTGCGCGGCGGCAGAGGCCGAGCTGGGGCAGCTGGCGCCGGAAGAAGGCCGCGACGAGGCCGGGGCGCGACGCGGCGCGCCTTTGGGCGCTGAAGAGCTGCTCTCTTTTTTTGTCGGCTGCAGGTGGCGGCGGAGGTGTTCGAACTGCTCGGCCTGGAAGGCCATGCTCTGCTCCGCATTGCTCCGCTATGCATCGCTATGCCGCTATGCTCCTTCTGATTCAGCTCGGAAAGGCGACACCAGGCGAGGTGAGGGTCGGTGAGGGTAGGGCACCTTTCCTTTCGCGACAGCTGTTCTGTGTCAGCTGTGCCCAGTTTGGTTGCGGCGGTTCGAAGGCTGAA